GCTGACGCAACAATACCTTATGTTTTCTTATCTTCTTATTTGGTATGTCATACATTTTAATTTTTTTCTTTTTATTCTAAATCTATGCAGTTCTTGCATAACACAAGATTTAGAAAACCACTAAATTGAGTTTGATCTTTTGTTTTGCTCTAGAGATAATATCTGCTCCACCTGCATGGGATATTATACACGACAGCAGTGTACTGACAGGGTAAATGATATCTAGAAGTTACGACTTTTCCTACGCTGGATGAGAGTGACAAGTCACATGGGTAGCTCTTGTTGCTATGGCTAAATCTGACGTTTAATATTAAGTAAGGAACTTTCAGGTGAAACATTAGCACTCAGAATCTTAAGTGAGTTGGTTAATAGGGAAATTTATTGACGGAAAATGCTAGATGATCAATTTACAAGCTCAGTAAAAGGCAATCGTCCAGTATCCTAACTGAAGAATACACACTGTGCTTGTCCATTAATTTGAATAATGATTATTTTAATTTTCTGTAACAGATCACGTCCAGTCTGTTTATTTCTTTTCTTAAAATCAAATCACTTCGAAATTGATTCTCCCATTATACAATGGACCAACCTGATACTCCTTGCCGAAATCAGTTTTTGTTTGGATAAAATTATAAAAAGGTGTATATTAAAATTAAAAGCAAGTCCGTGCTCAAATTGGGTAGCGACTATTTTTAGAGATTTTTATGTGATCGCTAGATGAATACAAAATAACTATATTTACTTATTTTCCTGTTTTTATGCACTTAAAGTTGTTCTATACACACGATGAATCCCTAGCGGCACAACGGAAAGGCTGAGGGCTCAAACTGCTAAAAACCTGGTTTCGATACTCGTGGTGGGCACAGCACCGATAGCTCATTGAGTAGCTTTGCGCATAACAACAAACAAACAAATTACACATAAGCTCCAGTTACCTTATTTTAGCGTTCTTCTAGAAGTATTATAAGAATAATAACTGTACAAAATCTTGTTAATTTCAGACGACATTCGCGACCTCTCCATTTTTTAAAGATAAAGTTAAAATTCAAAGAAGAGTGGTTTATTCATTTACTGATAATTAAATATTGTATCATTGATATTTTGTGAAGGAAAAAGGTATGAGTGATGATATTTTCGAGATTACGCCTGCAATCAAAGATGTTATTAAGCAAATTCTCGTACGATGGCGCTGATAAACATTCGAAACGCAAACAACCTTCAAAAACTACCTTACAATACTGGATAGAGGCAGAGGATAAAGTGATACGTTACAGTGTGTTTGTGTGCTCAGTTTATAATTTGCTATAATTATTATTTCAGTTGGTGCAGTAGGAATTCCATAATCTGTGTAAATATTAAAAAATTTAGTTCTATTAACAAGAGAACAAAGTAGAAGTTTTAACTGATTTCGAAGTTGTATTCTACTCGTCAGTCGTTGATAATCGACGGACAAGGACAAGCAGTTTCACAAGTCACGTGCATTCATGTTCTGGCTGGCGCGTGATAACAATACACCTGAAGGTGGTAAATTGCTTTTAGAGTTGTCACACTTCACGTGACATTGTAAAGCAGGTTTGTTAAAATTTAATAATTTCTGTAAATGTTTTAAAATACCATAAAGTCTAAACAATAACAGCAACAAATTTTTTTTTATAGTTGTATTTCATATAGTAAATTGAATGATAGAATGAACAACAAATAATTTGAAATATTATGATTCGGAGTGTGAACTTTAACTTTACCTGGTTAAAACGTAATTTATGTAAAAAGATTTATAGTTATAGAATATGGACACATCGCTCATGTTTATTTGGAAATATAATAGAATTTCCTAGTATAATTTAGTTTAAATATGCAGTGTTTCTGCTAGGAGTAGGAAACTGGTAAATAATTATAAAAACTTATTTTAATTTCTTTTTAAAGAAATTGTCTTCATTTTGAAGAATGAGCAGGTAAGTTATGGTTGCAATTATTCATTAGTGGTTGTGCTCAAATTAACCACATTTAGTTGCCCCTCATATGAACCTATTCTGTGAAGATAACATTGACATATGGCAGTGTGTCGTGTGGCCAAAACAACCTGCAGGACTCGCTGTGTATTGTTAACAGGAATGATAGTTTAGCAATTTTCCACTTTCTGTAGCTCGGACTGTGGTAATCCAAAGTATCAAATTTTAAGTGGATGTGTGCTACCTGACCCTTACTTCACTTACAAAATTTCAAGGCAATCAATTGAGAAATATACGAGATGTAAAATATCCAATTATGATTGAATTTCTTCCTGTTTTTTATCTTCATACCGGAAGTACGGAAAATGTATTTGATAGAAAAACATGCTTAATTTATTGGATTTTTTCCCTTCAGATCTGGTACACTCGTAGATATTTACCATCTAACATCAGATGTCAACTTTGGTCTAAATATAAGCCACGTGTGCAAAGGTATTCAACAAAAACCGCTCAATTTGACCAATTTTTTTGCGCACGCCTATGCAAAAAGTTACGTGAGCTATCGGTCTGAAAGTTTTGCTATAGCTTTATCTTAGAGTAAAGGTGGGCCTATTTTAGTTTTTTTTTACATTCGCATTAAAGACTACTGATTTAGAGCAACAAAACTATAGGGTGAAAGCACATGCAGATACACAAGCATTGATTAGGCCAACCGAACTAGATTAGCAGTTTATAGCTCAATTTTTCAAAATAATGAAATGGGTGGAAGGTATTATTCATTGTAAACTTTTAGGCACAAATTTGTTTAATTTTATGAAATTCTGTAACTAAAGAGTGTTTTGCGTCAAGTGATATTAGCTTAAGCAATTAGCGTAAATAATGATGTTTGTTAAAGGAATGAAATCAAAATTGGCGGCCCAACTGATAGCTACACCTAAACCATTGATAAGTATTGTTACGACAGCGGAAGTCACGTGACTCTGGTAACACGTAATGAGTATCTCGAACGTTCCTGAAGGCTCGAGCGTTTGGTAGACACGCGCTTTTATAGTATATAAGCCAGAAAATAAAGTGACGGCCGTCGGCGAGAATAATTGAATAGCAGACAGGGAGATAGAGACAGATAATCTAGTCAAGCCGTAAGTAAACTGCGTGAATCGTTCTGAATTCTAGCGTGTGTTTAAGTTAAAGTGACTGTGGAAATTAAGTGTACTGCAAAGTTGAATTGAGAAAGAATAAACTAGTTTTATTTAAGAAAGGACTTGTATCGCTGAAGTTTCTTGGAAAGAATTTCTACGGAAAATTAATAAACGAACAGAGACGTAACAAATTGGTGTCGAAAAGTGGGGCAGAAAAAAAAAAGAAGAAGATGGAAACGAGAGGTGGCAGATCAAAGTACAGCTTAGCAGATTTGATGGCAGCAATACGAGAACAGCAAAAGAAACAAGAAGAACGAGAAAATAAACAAGAAAAGAAACAGGAAGAACCAGAAAAGAAACAAGAAGAGAGATTACAGCAGTTGTTGGAGGAAAAGAAAAGAAACAAGAAGATAGACAACAGCAGTGGCAAGAAAACCTGCAACAGTAGCAGCTTGAACAGCAAAATGAACAAGAGAGACTACAGCAGTGGTTGGAGGAGAAAGGAAATAAACAAGAAGGGAGATTACAGCAGTGGCAACTGGAACAAGAAAGGAAACGGGAAGAAAGTCTCCAACAGTTGCAGGAAAGTCAGCAAGAAGTACAAATGGAAAACATTAGCAAATTTCAAAGTGAATTAAATGAATTAAAGGATGATTTACTGTCTTTTACACAAGGAGGATATATTAGCCATCAACCTAATCAGCCTCGGACAGTGGGAAGCCCCTTCCAGACCTCGCAGCTAAACCCTAATGCAGAGATCTTCAGTTCTGTCAGAAGTCACATTCCAGACACAAGTGTCAGCAATAGGGGTGATAGTACGAAGGAAGCCACAGGAATTCGATGGGAAGGCACTGTGGGAAGCATATACAGCACAATTTTAGCTACTGGCAGAGATGAATGGATGGACAGAGGAGCAGAAAGCTGTATATCTGGCAACGAGCTTGAAGGGACAACCACTGGAAATACTTGGACAGTTGACAGCAGCCGACAGACATAACTATAGAGCACTGGTAGAGGCTCTGGAACTCAGGTACGGAACCCAGAATCATTCAGAAGTCTACAGGGCCAGGTTTAGGATGAGAATCCGTGCTAAAGGGGAGAGCCTGCAAGAGCTGGCACAGGACTTGGAGAGCATGGCACACAAGGCCTACCCAACTGCACCACCCGATCTCCTCAAGTTGTTGCTGAGGGATCAGTTTGTAGATGCCTTGGACAATCCACAACTGAAGATACAAATAAAGCAAGCACAACCCTCTACTATGCAGAATGCAATGGCCAGAGCTCTTGAATTTGAATCCTAGGTTAAGACAAGCACAGTGGTACCAAGGTTGGTACAGTCATCAGGATTCAAGGCCAGAAAAGGGCAGCTTCCAGAGAGGTTTGAGGGACTTTGCTGGCACTGTAACAAACCTGGGCACAAGAAACCTCAATGCTGGCAACTTGAACACAGGGATGATGCCATGGCAGGAAAGGCTGCTACCCAGAAAGGTTGTTGGAAGTGTGGAAAGCAAGGACATATGAGGAGCTAGTGTAAGAAGAATACTACCAATAAGTCAGCTTCAGAAAACCAGTAGGGGTTGGTGTTGAGGTACGCCCACCAACCCCTATAGTGAAAGTCCCAACAGCTAAGTGTAAAATGGCAAGCACACATAGTATCTATGTGACAGGAAAGCTGGATGACCAAAAGTGCATAGATTATGGATCTCAGCAAACCCTTGTGAGTATCAAGGTGCTAGATCAC